GAACGGAATCTAGTTATGACAGCTCAGTGGCTGGGTGGCTTTCGGTCTAGTCTTACCTAGATCAGGTAAGGCTACTCATTACACTCATCAGGTGTTCAAGGTTCTTCCTCTTCAACAGAGGCGGAGGCGGAGGCAGAGGTGGGGGTGGGGGGTGTTGGTGAGGGAAGGGAAATCCCACCAGTTCCAGGCGTGAGATCCCCGTTCCCCATGTTGGTTCCTTTGGGGTTGAGGCTAACGGTGCAGGCTGGTCCCTGCTTGTTTCTGAGGGGCCAGTGGATGAGCGAGCGGTAGGAAGTACTTCCTGTGCACCAAGCCAGCCTTGCACTCGAATCTTGGACAGAACAGCCAGGGAAGGGGAGACTGGGCTGTGTTGGTTTGTAGCCCAAGGTTTAGAATCTCCACCAGTGTGCTACACAGAAGACCTGGCCATTTGGTGCTCTCGTCTTGTCCGGGGGCGTTTCTCACAACTGGGGTGGTGGTCTCCACCGCTAAGTCAGGTTACGTGCGGGCAAGGTGCCTTCTGACAGGGGCAGACTGCCTGTAGCCCCTTTTCACTTGGTCTACCAGAATCAAGGCCTGAGATGCCCTGGCCATATCCTCAGGTCCCCCCGCCCCCTCCCTGCGCCCCTGCCCCCGCCACACTATGAGAAGGAGGCTGACAAGGGGCTGGCTGGAGGGGCTTTGGGGCACTCATGCAGGGGCTGCCAACACAACACGCCAGGGTCCATGCAGCCTGGAGGTTTGCTGCACTCAGCGAAGCTGCGCCCCCCGAGACACCAGCTGGCACCCCCACCAGCGTGACTGCCAGAGCTCACAGGGGAAATTTGGGTTTTGGTCTTGTTTTGTTCGAGATGAGCTATGGTTCAGAGCCAATCGAGTTAATGGAAGAGTCTCAGAACCTCTTCCCTGGGCTGCCGCAGAAGATGCGCAGCCCCGCAGCCCCGCCGCAGGGGGTCTCTCCTCCTCCCAGGCGCGCCCAGAAAATCAAACATTTGCCCAGGCCCACGGCTGGGAGGCCGGGCTTGCACCATCTGCAGGGGGGCCGCAGTCGCGGGCACCTCCATCCCTAGGAGAGAAGCTGCAGACACTCGCAAAAGGAGGAAAGGGGTGTCGAAGGTGGGGG